GGAGAAAGACATTTTTTCCTACAAAATTCTAAATCACAATGTTCATCAATACAGATAGATTACGTCATTCTTGGGGTATAAGACAATAGGACAGTTGTACCTTTTGAATGTACAGTTTTAGCCTCTTAAGTGCTAGAAGAGCAAATGGATTGTTAGGCAAATGAACTAGATTTAGATTTGGTATTAACAATAATTTCTTGTCTGTTTTTGCACTAGGTTTCAACGTGGTTTTTTACAACATTTACAATTTCAAGTCTAAAGGACAAAGTCCACCATGTGGAAAACCTGCAACAGTTGTTCACAGCCATTCCCCCTGAACAGATTGACTTCCCTCCATTTGTTCTTGAATATGATACCAGGGTAGGTAGTTTCAAGATATAAATGTCCGTTCTTTCTAGACTTTATCTCATTCGTTTCATAAAGCAGGTATAAAAGTGGCTTTCCTCCTCTTTGCTTGGAAAGATTATAGAATTATTATAGCATGTGCCTTGATTGGAAAGTTGCTTTAAACTGATTCTGTTTGTGTTGGTGTGAAAGTACTTCTTCTTACCAAAATAGTTTATTCATATTTTCTTATTAACCTACATTATCTAAGCCAGTGATTTACCACAGACACCTTTTAAATATCTTTTGATGTAGCAGACTGGCAAAACTTAACTCAAGATTTAAAACCCTAAAGCCTATCAAATATTTATTTAAGGTTGCTCATCAAGGGGCTTCATATTTGAAGTAAGGGAGAAATAATAATAATAATAATAATAATAATAATAATAATTATTATTATTATTATTATTATTATTATTATTATTATTGGGAAGTGTCCAACATGTGACCCAATACAATAGCCAACAGAGTGATCTTGTCTGCTGTGGATTATCTTGTTGTGTTTCAAATAATAATAATCATCATCATCTTTATTGATACCCTGCCACCATCTCCTCGAAGGGGACTTGGGGTAGCTAACGTGAGGTCAAGCCCAAAGATACAATACAGCAAAATAAAGTGCAAAATACAACACCAAAAATCACAATAAAGTACATACAGTGGCAAAATAAAATAAACAAAGCAAAATAGCATAATAGAAAATTGAACACAATGGGCAGGCCAAATGGACAAGATAAAATGATAAAATGGCTGTTTTAGACATTTATGCAAATCTGTTCAGGGTTTACAGTAGACTGCAGAAGATGCTTCAGCTGTACTTCATAAAAAGGAAAAATAGCCTGTTTTAAAATCCTTGCAAATGCTGATTTGTTATCAGTAAATATATGGGTTTTATACTTATTTTATATACATATATACCCATAGTCACATATAAATTTTATCAGGTCAAGAAGGGTCCTGAGTGGAAATTTTAACGAGCCCTGTTCTCGAGGACATGGCATTCTCACCATGTTTTGGGACCTTCCTGAACCCCTGGAGGTGCGGTGGCTTAAACCAGTGAGCAATAATAATAATAATAATAATAATAATAATAATAATAATAATAATAACAACAACAACAACTTGCTAACTGAAAGGTTGGCAGTTTGAATATGTGAAGCGGGGTGAGGTCCCGCTGTTAGCCCCAGCTTCTGCCAACCTAGCTGTTTGAAAACATGCAAATGTGAGTAAATCAATTGGTACCACTTCAACAGGAAGGTAACTGTGCTCTATGCAGTCGTGCCGGCCACATGACCTTGGAGGCATCTACGGACAACGCCGGCTCTTCAGCTTAGAAATGGAGATGAGCAGCATCCCCCAAAGTCAGACTCAACTAGACTTAATGTCAGGGGAAACCTATACCGTTACAGTTTTTTTTTTTAGAAGTTTTTCAAAAATACGTTTGGAGCCCTGGTGGCTTTAGGGGGGCACAAAAACAGCTCTGGGAGGCACATACAGCTCACAGCCATGCTTTGCCTACCCATATCACCGTGTAACACATTTTTTGTTTCTGAGTTATAATTTTCATTTCCTAATTCGTTCTATCATAAAAACATAGTAAAAGTTTATTAAAATGCAAAAAAAAAAGTTTTTGCGGGACATCTTGCAGCACACTTTGCTATAGTTTTTAATTAATATCTCATAGACTCTCAGCCAATTCAACATAGTTTGTGGCAGCCATAAGAACAAAGTTTCTGGAGTTCAACACCTACTTTCAAAGTAAGTACCACACAATTAAACAGGAAAGAACATTTTCAGACCAAGAACAGAACATTTTTCAGATTTTGTTACATAATGAATGGCTGTGGAAAAGATTTTCATTTAGGGATTATTTGTTTTTATGTGTACACTGCATCAATTCATCTTTTGTATCTTTACAGGAAAATGGATCATACTACTCTTACCCCTCTTCTCCGGACCTCTGACTATGCAGCCCTGCCATTCCATTTGGTTTCCGAACTCTCTATGACATGCTACATGCCAATCCCATATGCACCATGGTGGTCTGATTCATTTTCAGAGATCAGAAGGCGGGTAATCCTGCCTCTGTTATTTTTTTACAAGGAGGAATTTGGAAGAATATAAGCAATCAGTAAACTAAATCCAAATGAACTGTTTCAGATGTATCACATAGAAAAGTTGCTAGGTGTATATGACAACAATTTTTGTATTGCACAAACTGCTTTCTCGAAAGACCCATTGGACAGACTTTAATCTGACTGTGAGCGGTCTCTGCTCCCAGCCACTTCAGACCAGTTTGGAAGAAGATTTGGTTTCCATTCAACAGTGCTATATCAGATTTACATGTGGAATCCTTTATTATTGCTGCTACATTCAGAGGAATTCACTTTTAAAATATCTACGGATTGGACAAAGAACTGTTTAAAATTCTAAAACATCTATAAATGTCAGCTTTGTAAATTCTCCTTAGCTTTGAATGTGGCGCTCTGCCTTTTTTTGCTGGATGATGAAAGATGCAAGAGTGCTGCTGCTTTCCTGCTAAATTGTAAAACTGAAGCAAATATCACTAATGTCTCTTGTGGTTTTTATTTCCTTTGACCTTGTCGTGATTTCTAGCTGGTATAGGGAAAGCAATTAATGAAATACTGGTATTAAAAAAACAAATGTGCAGGCCACATGCAGCCCTCAGGTTCCCCAAGAAGCGTCCCATAATCTTCAGCCCATTTATCATTGGATTTCTTTTTACCCAACTCCAGTCAAACTCTTCCAAAACTACCAAAAATGCAGTGATCTGCTTCTCCTTATCCTCCAAATCACCAAAACAGCAAAAAAAGAAAAGTAAGCAACATAGCAGCTGAAAGTGATGTTGTATAACATCAGGTATACCAAGATATGATGCTATGGCCCACTGTGCAAGGAGAGGTAGGTAATACTATTATTATTATTATTATTATTATTATTATTATTATTATTATTATTATTTATTTGATACACAATAAGATTAGTAGACAGCAAACAAGATCACTGCTGACTGTTGTATTGGATCACACATTGGACACTTCCATTTCTAGAACTGTGTGATGTATTGGTGAATAATGCATGCAGATCCAATAGGGTGGTCTTTTGCAGCTGACAGGTGGTAATTTTGTCAGTCGATTGTTTTTAAGTGCAGGCCAAGGTCTTTTAGGCACTGCACCCAGTGTGCCGATCACCACTGGGACCACCTTGACTGGCTAGTGCCAGAGTTCAATTTTAATTTAAATCCTCATATTGTGTCAGCTTTTCCAGTTGCTTCTCGTCAATCCTGCTGTCACCTGGGATTGCAACATCAACGATCCATACTTGGTTTTTTAACATGATTAATATTTTTATCTTTTATTATTATTATTATTATTATTATTATTATTATTATTATTATTATTATTTGAAACACAACAAGATGAGTCCGCAGCAGACACTCTGCTGGCTGTTGAATTGTATCACACGTCGGACACTTCCCAAGTGTCTAGGACTGTGTGATGTATCAGCGAATAATGCGTGCAGATCCCAGTAAGGTGGCCTTCTGCAGCAGGCAGATGGTAATTTTGTCAGCGCCGATTGTGTTTAAGTGCAGGCCAAGATCTTTAGGCACTGCACCCAGTGTGCCGATCACCACTGGGACCACCTTTACTGGCTTGTGCCAGTCTTTGCAGTTCGATCTTTAAATCCTCATATTGTGTCAGCTTTTCCAGTTGTTTCTCTGCAATCCTGCTGTCACCTGGGATTGCGACATCAACGATCCATACTTTGTTTTTTAACACGATTGTGAGGTCAGGAGTATTATGCTCCAAAACTCTGTCTGTCTGAATCCGGAAGTCCCAGAGGAGTTTGGCATGTTCATTCTTTGTAACTTGTTCCAGCTTATGATCCCACCAGTTATTATTATTATTAGTATTATTATTTTTAATTGGAAAGGAGCCCCCAGTGATACAGTGGGTGAAACCCTTGTGGCAACAGGACTGAAGACCGACAGGTCCCAGGTTCAAATCCGGGGAGAGTGTGGATGAGCTCCCTCTGTCAGCTCCAGCTCCCAATGTGGGGACACGAGAGGAGCCTCCCACAAGGATGGTAAAACATCCGGGAGTCCTTTGGGCAACATCCTTGAAGACTGCCAATTCCTTCACACCTGAAGTGACTTTCAGTTTCTCAAGTTGCTCCTGAAACAAAAAAATTAATTGGAAAACAAATGGTTGTAGACCTTTGCGCAGTTGCCAACTTTTATTCTTGAACTAGTCCATAATTTTATTTGCAGGTCATTAGAACTTTTAAACATTGTTTCAGGAACTATATAATTGCTTATTCTTTCAAAGTGGAGCTGGACTAGATGGTCCTTGCAGCCCCTTCCTATTTTTAAGGTTCTTGCAAAGACATTTGACATTATGGACCGTAATGGTTTGTGGACCATCTTCCTGAAAAATGGGTGCCCTGATAAATTTGTGAATATCCTGTGGCTCCTCCATGACATGATGGCAATAGTCTTGGACAGCAGCGGCTATCAAAGACACATTTAAGGGTCAGAATAATTCAATTCCTCTGCGTTTGCTGTGTACCATAGAAAAGAACAGGAAAGGGTTAAGGGAGAGGCAGTGGGCGGGATCATGCAAATTACACAGCGTGGAGGAGGAAAGACAGACAATCTAGGATCCCATGGTCTTGCTAAACTCTCCTGGAGGGTGCAACTTCTGCTTTGTGAAGATACACCGGAAGTGACGACTTCGGTCAGGGCCTTCCCACTTTCTCAAGCAAACCCGGAAGTGAAGGCTTCAGGCATGGCTTTCCCACATTCTCAGGCGAGGGAGAAGGAGGCGGCAGAGGCCATGACGACGGTGGAGGTCCTTCCGGGGCTGTACCTGGGCCCTGCAGGGAAAAGCGGGAAAGCGGCGGAGAGGCCTGCGGGCGTCACGGCCCTCTTGTCGGTGGACTCGGAGCCCCCCGGGGAAGTGGGGCTGGAGGACGTGCTGCATCTGGAGGCCCTCGACCAGCCCGGCAGCGACCTGCTCAGCCGCTTGGACCAGGCCGCCGCCTTCATTGACAGGGTCCGGGGGAAGGAGAAGGGCGCACTCCTGGTGCAATGGTAAGGAGGGGGGAAAGCAGGTCCTGGGACAGGCGTGGGCCAACCTCGGCCCTCCAGGTGCTTTGGACTATTTCCTCCCAGGTTTGCCCACGCCTGTCCTAGAACCACAGAGCTGGAAGGGAACCCCAGGGCCAACCCCTTACCATGCAGGAACACCCACACACGCACAGATGGCCATCCAGCCTCTCTGTTGTCGAAGGCTTTCATAGCCGGACCACTGGGTTGCTGTGAGTTTTCCGGGTTGTATGGCCATGTTCCAGAAGCAGTCTCTCCTGACGTTACGCCCACATCTATGGCACGCATCCTCAGAAGATGTGAGGTCTGTTGCAGATCACCTGATGAGTCAACCTGGACACAGCATATCATTTGAGTACACAGAAATGTTGGACCACTTTCACAACCACCATGTCAGACTACACAGAGAAGCCATTGAAATCCGCATCTGTAGCAGGCATCCTCAAAGCTTGTGAGGTTTGTTGGAAACTAGGCAAGTGGGGTTTATATACCTGTGGAATAATGTCCAGGGTGGGACAAAGAACTCAGACCTCACAAGCTCTGAGGATGCTTGCCATAGATGCAGGCGAAACGTCACGAGAGAATGTCTCTAGAACATTCTCTTAAACAGAGGGGTCAGGTCACAGTCTCTCAAACTGTTGGAGGGCCAGATTATAATTTGAAAAATAAAGAATGAATTCCTATGCACACTGCACATATCTTATTTGTAGTGCAAAAAACCACTTTAAAGCAATACAATAAATAAAATGAAAAACAATTTTAACAAATATAAACCTATTATTATTTCAGTCAGAAGTGTGGGCATGCTCTTGGCTGATGAGATAGGGTTGTTGTTGTGTGCTTTCAAGTCATTTCAGATTTAGGTTGACCCTAAGCAAAGGCCGAGCAAATGACCATGGAGGGCCATATCTGGCCCCCGGGTCTTAGTTTGAGGACCCCTGCTCTAGAACATGGCCATATGGCCCAAAAAAACCTATAACAACCAACTCTTACCTGTTTGAGGCAAGTGTGAATGCTGCAATTGATCACCTTGATTAACATTGAATAGCCTTGCAGCTTCAAAGCCTGGTTGCTTCCTGCCAGGGGGAATCTTTTATTGGGAGGTTTTGGCTGGCCCTGATTGATTCTTGTCTGGAATTCCCCTGATTTCTGAGTGTTGCTCTTTATTTACTGTTCTGATTTTAGAGGTTTTTTTAATACTGGATGCCAGATTTTGTTTATTTTCATGGTTTCCTCCTTTCTGTTGAAATTGTCCACATGCTTGTGGATTTGAATGACTTCTCTGTGTAGTCTGACATGGTGGTTGTGAGAGTGGTCCAGCATTTCTGTGTTCTCAAATAAAATGCTGTGTCCAGGTTGGTTCATCAGGTGCTCTGCTATGGCTGACTTCTCTGGTTGAAGTAGTCTGTAGTGCCTTTCATGTCCCTTGATTTGTGTTTGGGCAATGCTGCATTTGGTGGTCCCTATGTAGACTTTTCTACAGCTGCATGGTATACGATAGACTCCTGCAGAGGTGAGAGGATTCCTCTTGTCCTTTGCTGAACGTAGCATTTGTTGGACTTTCTTAGTGGGTCTTTAGATAGTTACAAACTATCAACGGAGTCTATCATAAATCAAGAAGAATTGGATTCTGAAATGGGGTAGTCAAATAAATAGGAAAATATATAGAACTGAACCATTCTCTTTCTACGATTGTTCAATTAAAATAATATTTGAATGCAGGAAAGTACTGTTCCCAGAAGGTGGGGGGAGGGGAGGGGTGTAAAATTGATAGACACAAGTAGGAGATAAAAGTAGAATAGGCAAAGTTAAGAACACTAAGAAAATAAGATCTGATATGTATTTTGAAATGGTGATGGATTGTGATGTTATTCCACCTGTGTCTGCATTAAAAACATATTGGGGGGAAAAGAGTCTACCGTATGGACAAGTCTACATAGGGACCACCAAATGAAACACCCAAACACAAATCAAGGAACATGAAAGACTGAATTCAACCTGAGAAGTCAGCTATAGCAGAGCACCTGATGAACCAACCTGGACACAGCAAATTATTTGAGAAGACAGAAATGCTGGACCACTCTAACATTCACCATGTCAGACTACACAGAGAAGCCATTGACTTCTCAGGTTGAGCCATTGACTTCTCTGCAGTGCCTTTCATATTCTTTGATTTGTGTTTGGGCAATGCTGCATTTGGTGGTCCCTATGTAGACTTGTCCACAGGTGGACTCCCGCAGAGGTGAGAGGATCCCTCTTGTCTTTTGCTGAATGTAGCTTTTGTTGGATTTTCTTAGTGGGTCTGTAATGGTTCAGACTTGCTTTTCTTTTGTAAACATTGAATTCTGCATTTCAGTTGGGACTTATGTATTCAAACAGGAGCTCCCGGTAGCACGATGGGTTAAACCACTGAGCTGCTGACCTTGCTCATCAGAAGGTTGCAGGTTCAAATCTGAGGAACGGCATGAGCTTCCGCTGTTAGCCCCAGCTTCTGCCAGCCTAACAGTTCAAAAACAGGAGCCCCCTGGTGACGCAGTGGGTTAAACCACTGTGCCGGCAGGACTGAGGACCAACAGGTCACAGGTTTGAATTCGGAGAGAGCACAGATGAGCTCCCTCTATCGGCTCCAGCTTCTCATGCAGGGACATGAGAGAAGCCTCCCAACAAGGATGGTAAAACATCAAAACATCCAGGCTTCCCCTGGGCAAAGTTCTTGCAGACGGCCCATTCTCTCACACCAGAAGCAACTTGCAGTTTCTCAAGTCGCTCCTGACATGACTAAAAAAATATTCAAAAACATGCAAATATGAGTAGATAAATAGGTATCGCTCCAGCGGGAAGGTAACGGCACTCCATGCAGTCATGCCGGCCACATGACCTTGGAATTGTCTACGGAAAATGCTGGCTCTTTGGCTTAGAAATGCAGATGAGCACCAACCCCCAGAGTCAGACATGACTGGACTTAATGTCAGGGGAAAACCTTTACTTTATGTATTCAAAACTTAAGCTGCATTTGTGATTTTCCCACTCTTTACTACTCTTTCACTATTTTAAAAGGAGAATGAGATGCCCCATTTTCTGGATATTAAGATGTGACAATATTTCATTAGGTCCACTTTTCTTTTTCAGTCATGCTGGAGTCAGTCGAAGTGTGGCTGTTGTGACTGCCTATTTAATGAAGGCCAATAACCTCCCCTTTGAAGAAGCCTATGCCTTTATTCAGGCCATCAAACCTGATGCAAAGTGCGTCCTTCCCCCTTATTGAATTTGTTTCTTTCTTCCTGAGGAATAGAGTGTAAGTGATGTAAGAACGAGTCTTTGATTTCTTTTTCCAGAATGAATGAAGGTTTTGAGTGGCAACTGAAACTCTATGAAAAAATGGGGTGTGAGGTTGATGTAACCAGTGCTATTTACAAACAGTATCATTTGCAGAATCTTACAGAGAGATACCCTGGTAAGCAAGTTGAAATGCATTAAATAGAAGTAAAAGTTTTGTGCTATGTTTTGTCAGTTGTGACACCAAATATTTTTATGATGCTTGTTTACTGTTTCATACATTTAATGTTGTTTCTTCTTTCAGAATCACAGGACCTTCCAAAAGAAATTTTTGCAATTGATCCAAACAACATTGAGCAGGCGACCAATTATGAACTTACTTACAAGTGTCGAAAGTGCCGGTATGGAGCTTCACATATATTTATTAGATTTATATTCTGCATGGTCCTGAGCAATCAGAGTTCCTTGCAGCATTTTTCTAAATTCTCAAGGGACTCACAAGTAATTGAAATGGCTTGGGAATAAGAGTCAAGATAATACTGTGCATACAATTTGTTTTTAAATATAATTTTAATATAGTGCTCATGTGAATACTTACTTACTTTCTTACTTAGACGATCCCTCGTAGCCTGAGGATGATGATCCTCCAAGTGTAGTGTCTTGGTGATGGGTCTGCAGGTGGCTGTGGAGCCCTATTCCTAATCTGCATGTTCTTCCACAGTGAGGGCATCGGTTTCCAGGCAGAAGGCGGTCCTGGTCAGGGTTTGCTTGATGCGCCTTCCTCTTGGCACATTTCTCACTTTTGCCCTCCATTCGTGCCTCTTTGAATTCTGCAAATACTGCTGGTCACAGCTGACCTCCAGTTGGAGCGCTCAAGGGCCAGGGCTTCCCAGTTCTCGGTGTCTATGCCACAGTTTTTAAGGTTGGCTTTAGGGCCATCTTTAAATCTCTTTTTCTGTCCACCAACATTACGTTTCCCATTCTTGAGTTGGGAATATAGTAACTGCTTTGGGAGATGGTGATCAGGCATTCGGACAACGTGGCCAGTCCAGCGGAGTTGATGGCGGAGGAGAATTGCTTCATTGCTGGTAGACTTTGCTTCTTCCAGCACACTGACATTTGTCCACCTGCCTTCCCAAGAGATTTGCAGGATTTTTCGGAGGCAACGCAGATGGAATCGTTCCAGGAGTTGAGTGTGATGTCTGTAGATAGTCCATGATTCACAGTATAGCAGGATTGGGAGGACAATAGCTTTATAAACAAGCACCTTGGTCTCCTAATGGATGTTCCGGTGCTCTAACATTCTCTGCTTCATTTGGAAAAATGCTGCACTCACAGAGCTCAGGTAGTGTTGTATTTCAGTCAATGTTGACTTTTGTGGAGAGGTGGCTGTGAAAGGGGTAGAACAAGTCTGACATAGCAATCTCAGCTAACTAAGCTGCAATAAATTAAGGTCAGAATGACCGTTGAGGCTGCATGCCTTTCTCCATATGTTGCTTTTGTTGGAGATAGCAACCTTCTAATGCCTCTATTGATCTTTGTCTGTTTATAATGTGTCATTTTATTTCCTGAAGTGCATGTCTTATTTGGTTTGCAGTTTCCTTAGCTCTATGTACTTGTGGCAGTGGGAGGGGCTGCATATTATGTTACTGTTTAGAATCCAGGTTTCAAAAGGATGACAGTTGAGCCTTGAGTCAGCTTGAGTACAGAAGTCTGTTTTCAGTCAGATGTCAGTGTAGTTAGAAATCTATTGAGCCTTGACTCAGCTTGAGTTCAGAAGTCTGTTTCAGTCACACGTCAATGTAGAAAGTTAGAAAACCGTTGAGGCTTGATTTTTTCTTTTGAAAGCAGATTGTTATGAAAGAGAACTGTACAGAGCTATATGGTTTTTGAAGAGACCATTGAAGACTCTAAGTTAAAGGTACAAACTGAAATATTTTAAAGTTTAGCCTGACAAGAAATATGCCTGTATCTTTGAATACATGAAGTTATGAGTAAAACAAACATATTACTTAAAGAAGTCTGCTTAAATCCTTGTCTGCTGAGAGCATCGATTGAAACAAGATATTTACGTGCCCAATGATTATCCATTACTCCATAAACTAAAACAGGGGTCCTCAAACCTTTTAAACAGAGAGCCAGATCACAGTCTCTCGAACTGTTGGAGGGCCAGATTATAATTTGAAAGAAAACATGAATTAATTCCTATGCACACTGCACGTATCTTATTTGTAGTGCAAACAACACTTAAAAACAAAACAATTTAAATGAACCATTTGAACAAATATAAACTTACTAGTATTTTAATGGGAAGGCTTGGTCCGCTTTTGCTTGACGAGATAGGATTATTTTTGTTGTTGTTGTTGTGTGTTTTCAAGTTGTTTCAGACTTAGGTTGACCCTGAGTGAGGGCCGGGTAAATGACCTTGGAGGGCCATATCCGGCTCCCCAGGCCATAGTTTGAGGACCCCTGAACGAAAGGAACACTTCTGTAACTCCGCTACCCAATAGGTTATGATCCTAACATGTCATAATCCATCATACGAATAGGTTACAGTCCTAACAGGCCATAATCCTAACAGGTCCCAATACTTTTTGAATAACTGTTTCCCATGGCAATCATAGACTAGAGAACTTTTGAAATGTGACTATATCAAAATAATTTATTTACAAAAAAGAAAATGATTAAAAATATGCAGAAAATTGCAAAAAAATTGCTAAAATTGTAATGCAGAAAAAAATTATGTTCCTTATGGCAAAATTTCAGTTTACTCAGTACTTGTTATGTGGTGGCTTTTGATAAAAAACCTGCCTTTAGATGATATATACCGCTTTTCACCAAATGTAAAGCACCATCAAATGTAAGGCACACCTCATTTTTGTAGCTTCAATTTTTAAGAAATGAAATTCTTAGAATATCTTTTAGAATTTTTTCTGCATTCACAATATCTTGCTTTTATTTTAGTGTGGCTTTGTAGTGCAGTCTTTCCTATGGCGTGCATAGGGAGTGTCAAACAACTTGGAAGCCATATTGTTTTCATGAGTATTTTACAAAGTCTATGGGCCTGTTTGGGGTGGGGGGGCTCAGTGGAAGCAGGAAGTGACACTGGAACAGGCGATAAACTGGCTGAGGACAAAATAGTCATGGCCTGGAAAGGTCATTGGCGCTGGGGCTCTTCCTATTCTTTTGCCTCCTCTTGCGGAGATAGCAATATTAAAAACAAAAAACCTGGAGCCTCCTCTCGTATTTAAGGTAGCTTTTATAAAAACCCAGCAGATATAATCTACTCTTAGGTGTATCCCATTTATGAAGTCCCTTAAACAGGAAAAAGCGGACCTTACATTCGGTGAAATACGGTGCTTGCTTTGCAGTGACATTTAGCTTAATATACTTTCATTGTGAAGAATGCAAGAAAATTTACAACTCAAAATAGTTAATTGTTGCTCCTGCAATGCTGCTAGATACTTTTTCTGAGTCTTCTCTTGGGTTTTTTTCACCTGGAAAATAGGCGTCTCCTCTTCCAAAGCTCAAGCATCTTACCTCATGATGAAGGCACAGGGCTGTCTGCTTTTGCTCACAAAAGGTTTTCAGAGCCGGCCCCTTTTCACTCTAATGGCAGACCCGGTTGTACTTCTTACTTCATTGAACCTCTACAGTGGATGGAGCCAATGCTTTTAGGAGTGATTGAAGGACAGGTAAGGAAAAGAGTCGGTCTTAATCATTTGAATGTGTCAAAATATTATTTCATTGCTGAAGACTAAACTATAAAGAAAAATGTCTTTTATATAGGGTTAGACCACAGCTTCTTGACTGATGTGATATCACAGGAATAACAGAATCCACAATTGGAATTGGAAAGGCCCCATCGGCCATTGAGTCCCACTCCTGGATGTCCTCTTTTGAGAGATATCCAGAGAACCCAACCACCTCTCCAAATAATTGGTTCCATTGTTGAACCACTCTTATTGTTGAGAAGTTCTTCCTAATGTTCAACAGCAGTCTTCATTCCTGTAACTTAAAACCATTGGGCCTGGCACCACCCTCTGGGCCAGGAAAGAACAAATGTTCACTCACAAGTTTGTAACACTCCTTTGGATATTTATAGAGAGCAATCATGCAGATTGCTGTCTATAAATATAATGGACCCGCTGTCTATAAATATAATGGATCCGCTGCACTCCTTGTGGTACAGCGGATTAAACCGATGAGCTGCTGAACTTGCTGACCAAAAGGTCAGTGGTTCAAATCCGGAGAAGGGGGTGAACTCCCGCTGTTAGCCCCAGCATCTGCCAACCTAGCAGTTTGAAAACATGCCAATGTGAGTAGATCAATAGGTACCGTTTTGACAGGAAGATAATGGCACTCCATGCAGTCATGCTGGCCACATGAGCTAGGAGGTGTCTATGGACAACGCCTGCTCTTTGGCTTAGAAATTGAGATGAGCACTAACCCCCAGAGTTGGACACAACTAGACTTAATGTCATGATGAAACCTTTACCTTTACTTAATCATGCAGAACCAGTATGATTCCATTGCTAAAGAAAATGAAGAGTTCTCTTTCTATTCTATCCAGAAAGTCTTTACGTTCTCTGATGTGTTGAATGGTCTCCGTGCACAGCTGCAGTCCACTGAACTTCCCTTTGAAGAGATACGCAAATTGCACTTGATGAAATTGTAGTTAGTGATTTTTTCCCCCAGAAAAATAATAAACATTCAGACACATTGCAGAAGACAACTACAGGTCCTTCTGCCTCCATCCGTGTAATTATTTTTCTGCCTTTCATTCCTTTAATACCTGTGATTTCACAGTTCACAAGGTGTGTTTTGTCAGTTTCCTCTTTGCTCACAACACCTTCAGCAAAAGCTACTGGAAGCGAAAGTATGCAGATGAACTGACTGCACTCCTCAATGTGTGAATGACCTGGGTGGAGTTGACCTGAGTAAGAGGCCACTATAAACAAAAATATAATCCAATAATATAAACGATAAGACTGTTTTTCACATATATTCTATGGTCATAGAGCATTCAATGTACAAACAAAGCTAGTCGAAGTTCAATGTATACTTAACAATGAATCAAAATTCATCAGCAAGTCTTGTTTGTACATTGAATGTTCTATGACCATAGCATATATGTGAAAAACATTCTTAAGGTTTATATTATTGGATTATATTTTTGATTATAGTGGTCTCTTGCCCGTGTACTTCGGGGAATCCTTTCTCTGGAGTTGGCCTGAGCCAGCTTTGTACATCCCAGTATTCAATGCAATTTCAATCCAATTTAGACAATTTAAGAAAAGGGATTGCCATAATCTGTAAGGATTCCTTGTCTCTGAGGGGACCCAACCACCCTAGCACCAGATTTGAGGGTTTGTATGTTCAGTTGAGCCAGAGATAGAAAGAAGAATATAGCCCAAGCATGGGCAAACTTCGACCCTCCAAGTGTTTTAGACTTCTAACTGGAGGGGGGCTTTTAAGGTGACTCAAAAACTGCAGTTAGTGCACCAACGGATTTGGTTGACTACATTATATATAATAATAATATATAATAATTTAAAAAACTTTATTTCCATCCCACTCTATCTCACAATGGGGACTCAGGGTGGTTCACAACATATAGCAGCAAACATTCAATGCTGTAAAATGTGACCAAAAAAGCAAATAAACAAACCATGATCAAATAATAATATATTAGACCTCTCAACAACACATGGCAATAGTCTTAAAGTTTAAAGTACTGGCTTAAGTCTAGTTGTGTCCAAGTTGTGTTCACTGCCAGTTTGAATTGAAAGGGCTGGTGATAACATTCAAAGCCCTAAACAGTTTGGGACAGTGATACTTTTTCTGCCCAAGAAATCTGTAGAGAAGACCTTGCTCCATGCCTTACTAGTATGAATGACACATCACATAGAGACAGAGGAGCAGGCTTTTTGTGTTGTAGCTCCATGTTTACAGAGACCCAGTTGGTGCCAACATTCGTCTTCCTTGAACACTGAGCTAAATCATACCTTTGTATTAAATGAAGCATTTTGGGACCAATTTTATTTGTTCTTGAAGGGTGCACGGTTTTAATTGCTTTAGCTTTTTTGCTGTTTTAATCTGGTAACTCAATATTATTTTATCCCATTTCAGCTATTCTGTTTTTGTATGGAATTGTTTCAAAATAAAGAGATTACACGGTAGGCTTTGTGTTGATTTGAACTAACCAGCAAAATGATGAGAAATGATGATTTTGCCTAATTATCCTCATCCCTTACAGCTTCTTTGCCCAAAGTGTACATCAAAGTTAGGTTCCTTTCACTGGCACGGTGAGCAGTGTTCGTGTGGCCGTTGGGTGACCCCTGCCTTCCAGATTCACAAGAGCCGCGTGGATGAAGCAAAAGGACTGCCGGCTGGTGCTCTGCTTAGTGCAAGAAAGCAAAGTTAGCTTGAATCTCCAGCATATTCTAAATGACACAAAAAACTATTAAGAACTTATAGTAGAAGAGTCAGTGGAGTGGGTTTTTTTTTTTTTTTGGAGTAAAAGATCTTTTTTACAGCTTTCCATAAATATGCAAGACATTTGTACAACCAACCCCGTGCTGGGTCACTCCCGTCAGTGATTTTGTACCTATCCAATCCAATTAAACAATGCAAGAAATGTATGAATGTGTTTCTTCTACCTTTTCTCTCTCTAGCCTCTTCTACACTGCCATATAATCCAGGTTACCAAAGCAGATAATCCACATTATCTACTTCGAATTAGATTATATGAATCTACATTGCCATATAATCCAGTTCAAAGCAGATAATCTGGATTTTGAATCACAGTGTAGAAGGGGCCTCTTTTTTAAGATGATGAGTCATGTGGGAAAATTCAAAATTAAGACTGTGACATTGGAAAGCAATGTTTTAAGACAGCTTCATCTGCTTTGGTCCTAATGAAAATTCCATCTTCTGATATTTGTCCTAGAGATGGGCTTCATTAGCCGCAATAGAGGCTTCCTAATGGAACAAATGCTACAACATGGAGATTTTCATCAGGACCACAAGGACGGAAGGAATATCTGCCCTCTGCAGCCATTTCTATCCTAGAATTTGATATGCCTTTAAAAAAAAACTAAAAACATAACAGTGTTCCATATATATGAACAATAGATTGTGTGAATATGTAAAAGAGTAACGCTTTGGGGAAAGCGGGAGTCTCTTCCTGGACCCTACACTATAAACGACAAAAGAGGAATTAATTTCTTTTTAGGAAAGTCTTTCTATAGCCTAACTAGAAAGAAGACAAAATCTGTAAACACACTGCAGTCAGTGCCTTTTACCCGTTGGCCCCTTTGGACTTGACCGCTCCAAAGTGGGTTTGCTGCATGGTGTAAGTATGAGAGAGTGAATGGAATTTCTCTATCTTAAATGATTGTTTCATGACAATGATCCCATTTTCCTTCTTTTTAAAGCATTTCAAATGTATTAATAAGTTAATAAAGTAAATAAAATCCAGATCTGGTTGTCTGAGAGTCTACTTGAGTGCCATTGTATCTGTTTTGAATATACATCTAGATAATAAAAGTATATAGGTCACTCAGTTTGTGACATCAGTCCTATGGCAATACCTAGAACAATGTTTCTCAACCTGGGGGGGTCGCAAGGAGGTGTCAGAGGGGTCACCAAAGGCGATCAGAAAACATACATTTCTGATGGTCTTAGGAACCCCTTTGGTAGAGAAGGCTGAAAATATCTCAGCCTGTCCTTATCTTCCTTTTTAGAAACAGATGGCAAGGGTGAATACACCTACCAAAAGCTGTCCTCTGCTGTGATTGGCTGACATCTTAGCCAAGGGAAGGGCTGTTTCTGAGACTCCAAGCAGGGAGGGGAGAGAAGGCGTGCTTGGCACATGGCAGCGTGATGTGCATGTACAAATAAGGGAGAGCATGTGATATTGAAGGGAAGCTCGCGCTAGCAAGTCCCTTCAAGTCATGGGGGTTCTGTGTGGAAAGTTTGGCCCAATTCTATCATTGTTGGGATTCGGAATGATCTTTGGTTGTAGGTGAACTATAAATCCCATTAACTACAACTCCCAAATGTCCAGGTCTATTTTCCCCAAACTCCACCAGTGTTCACATTTAGGCATATTGAGTATTCGTGCCAAGTTTGGTCCAGATCTATCATTGTTTGAATCCACTGTGCAGGTGAACTACAACTCCAAAACTCAAGGTCAGTGCCCACTAAACCCTTCCAATATTTTCAGTTGGTCATGGGAGTTCTATGTGCCAAGTTTGGTTCAATTCCATTGTTGGTGGATTTCAGAATGCTCTTTGTTGAGAATTATAAATATCAGCAACTACAACTCCCAAATGACAAAATCAACCCTCCACCAGTATGCAAATTTGGGCGTATCAGGTACTTGTGCCAAATTTGGTCCAGTGAATGAAAATACATCCTGCATATTAGATATTTACATTATGATTCATAACAGTACCAAAAATACAGTTATGAAGTAGCAACAAAAATAATTTAATGGTTGGGGGTCACCACAACATGAACTTTTTTAAAGGGTCACGGCAGGTTAGGAAGGGTGAGAACCACTGACCTAGAAGAACCCTCCACCTTGTGTGGCTGGAGCAGAACAGACAACTCCACACCCGTATGCTTGCCCACAGTGCCCTGCCTCATGCACAGAGGAAGAATTGTCTAAAGCTACAGACAATGCGGTCGCTTTTGCCCATTTTTGGTCTAAAATTATTTAGCCGCTTGTGCTTCCTCTATTTTATCAGTTTTATACTTATTTATGCAATGCTTTTGACACGAAATCAGTCCTATATAGCAGGCATGGGAAAACTTTGGCCTTCCAGGTGTTTGGGATGCTGGCTGGGATTTCTAGAAGTTGAAGTCAAAACATCTGGAGGACTGGAGTTTGCCCATGCCTGCTATAGAAAGGTTAATATAAAGTAGTTATGTCATTGAGGATATTTCTGAATCTTCTTTGACTCAGCCATGGAAACACATTGGGCAAATAAACTGTCAGCATCCTAAGAAGAAGGCAATGGCAAACCCCTCTGAACAAAATCTTGCCACTGTGATTGCTTGTAATGCTAAATATGTAGTGCAAATTCATCATCACCACTTATTTGTGAGCCTCGCATACAATGGGAAGGAAAGGTTCTGTCTGTTCCTTTCTTCCCATTGAATGCAGAGACAAGACTGAGGTCCTCCTGGTCAGTCGAAAGGCCGAACAGGGCATAGGGTTACAGCCTGTGTAGGACGGGGTTACACTCCCCCTGAAGACGCAGGTTCACCACTTGGGAGTGATCCTGGACTCATCGCTGAGCCTGGAACCCCAGGTTTCGGTGGTGACCAGGGGAGCCTTTGCACAGTTAAAGCTTGTGCGCCAGCTGTGCCCGTACCTTGGGAAGTCTGATCTGGCAACAGTGGTCCACGCTCTTGTTACATCCCAAATAGATTACTGCAACGCACTCTATGTGGGGCTGCCTTTGAAGACTGTTCGGAAGCTTCAAATGGTCCAACAGGCAGCAGCCAGGTTATTAACAGGAGCGGCGCTCAGGAAACACACAACAACTCTGTTGTACCAGCTCCACTGGCTGCCAGTTTGCTACCGGGCAAAATTCAAAGTGCTGGCTTTAGCCTTTAAAGCCCTAAATGGTTCTGGCCCAGTTTACCTGTCCAAATGCATCTCTTCCTATGAACCATCTAGGTGCTTAAGATCGTTTGGAGAGGTCCTGCTCTTTGTCCTGCCCCTTCGCAGATGCGATTGGCAGGAACGAGAGACAGGGCCTTTTCAGCGGTGGCCCCTCGGCTATGGAACACTCTCCCTAGGGATATTAGATCGGCCCCCTCCCTCCTAACATTTCAAAAGAGAGTCAAAACCTGGCTGTTTGAGCAGGCATTTGCAGACGCAGTGTAACAGACTAATTGAGCCACGAAACAATTGGATGGCACAACGGAAAATGATTTTAGTGATGAGACGCCGAGGACTTGTGTTTTATGGCTTTTATTGTTTTATTGCTTTTATATGGTTTATATTATATGTAATGTTTTAAACTGTATTTTATGTTGTTTGGGGGTATTGACTGCCAACTGTAAACTGCCTCAAGTCACCTTTAGGCTGAGAGGGGCGGTATATAAATATGGCTAATAAATAAATTCCTTGAACATAACTAACTTGACATGTGTAACTGCTTTTTTAACCCTATCTAAATTTCTTGTCTTTGCATTATTGATTAGATTCTTTCCTTTTGAAGGAATTATTGCAGTCATGTCCTCTCTTTTGGAAAATGAATTGAATAATCACCATCTGCCAACAGGTGGTGCAGGAGAGACAATTGAATGTTTTGAAATAGGAAAAAATAGTCTCAGGATTAAAGATCCTGTAATGAGTGAACCCCCTGCCACACCACATCCACCATTTTTGAGCACAAACCCAAAGGATTGTTTACAGTGGTTTTCCCAATGTACCTGAACAGTCTTGCCTTTGTGCTAATAGCAAAACAAGCATGTGTCTGCACCTAGAATCATAGAATCATCCAGTTGGCAGGGAGTTGGGCCATCCAGTCCAACCCCCTGCCAAGAAGCGGGACAATCAAGTTCAAAGCACCCCCAACAGATGGTCATCCAGCCTCTATTTAAAAGCCTTTATAGAAGGAGCTTCCACCACCCTTCAGGTAGAGAGTTCCACTGCTGAAGATCTCTCACAGTCAGGAAGTTCTTCCTAATGTTCAGGTAGAATCTCCTTTCCTGTAGTTTGAAGCCTCAGCAGCTAGTGATATTTTTTTCCAGATTAGATCCTTCAATAAGAACATGCTTTGGTACCGCCAACAACCAGCACAAGCCTGTATGGTGACAGTGGGACGTATAAGGCCTCCTCAGCGACTGCACCTTCCACAGAAGACCGGGATTGCCTCCTCCTCCCTGATTTGCTCTGACCAACAGACAGACATCCTTTTTAAATGTCTAGTCTACTTTATTTAAAGTTTGTTAAGGAAAAAAACTATTTTTATTTATATCTTTTTGGTTTAAATTCTAAATATATTTTTAAATTGTTTTGAGACCCGCTATTCACTGTATTCAGTGACACTCTTCGAGGAATAAATGCTTCTCAGTGCATGACACTCTAGCTATCAACCCTATTCAGTGCCTTCAGTATATAACATTCTTCTAGAAATCAATGGTATTTAGTACCTAGCTCTCTTCTCTCTTATTCAAAGTCAAATTTTGGGAAAGATTTCTGTTTTTGAAATAAATTGGGGTTTTGTTTTTTTGTCTAAAAAACACATTTTTGAAAGAAAGAAAAACCAGGTCAGAAAAATCACATTTTGGGAAAAAAATTGGTTTTGAAAATCAATTTTGGGGGGAAATTACAAGTTTTGGAAAAAACATGAATTTTTTTCAAATTGGAAAACCCATTTTTTAAAAAGAAAATCAGTTTTTGGAGAAAAAATGACTTGGGGGAATTGGGAAATATTTGGTTTTTTAAATCAAATTTTGGGAAATATTTTGGTTTTTTGAAAAAAGGACTTTTTTTGGGAGGGTTTCAGTTTTTTCCAAACCTCTCTGGTCAGAAAAATCAAATGTTGGGAAATATTTTAGTTTATAAAAGCAAATTTTGGGATATATTTCAATTGTTTTCAAAATTGTTTTTTTTTGGGGGGGGATGAGTTTTTTTCCGAACCCTTTGGGTCAGACAAAATAAAAATATGGGAAATATTTCAGTAGAGTTGACTTCAAAACTGGGAACATTTCATTGAAGGAGCTAAAGGTTGTGAAAGGTTGCTTTTTTGGTTTACAGTTTCCAGAATTTCCAGTTAACATGATATGGAGCCCCCGGTGGTGCAGTGGGTTAAACCCCTGTGCTGGCAGGATTGAAGACCAACAGGTCGCAGGTTCGAATCCGGAGAGAGGCGGATGAGCTCCCTCTGTCAGCTCCAGCTCCCCAAGCAGGGACATGAGAGAAACCTCCATCAAGGATGATAAAAACTTCAAATCATCCAGGCATCCCCTGTGCAACATCCTTGCAAACGGCCAATTCTCTCACACCAGAAGCGACTTGCAGTTTCTCAAGTCGCTCCTGACATGACAAAAAAAAGTTAGCATGATCAATGGGAATGTCATGAGGCCACCTTCCCGTGTTTTGATTCTGACACAAAACACAGTTATGAACAGAAACTGGTATGAAGTCCAAATGCAGAGCGTGTGGAATGTGTCTAATGTTTCCAGCTGCTTAAAGATTGATATCTACCAGGTTATGAAAGATAGATATATATATACACACACATTCTGACATAAATACAGGTCCTTCGTCCCACAGCAATGAGATGAACAAGGTGAGCATTGCCTAATTGAATTTTCTGCAGGTCTCTTCAAATTTACAAGGACCTTAAATAAGCACTTTTCAGTGAGTGTTTGGAAGGCAAAAGAGGGTTATAAATACTGCAGCTCTGGCCTGCTACTGATTTACAGAAGAGCAGAGCTACATTTGCCAGAAC